CAGAGCCGTTTTTTTCGCGGGATGTTTTTTTTACACATGCGGACACTTTGCACCACAAACTGCGCAGAGTCGACCTGAATTCGATTCCATTGAGCACACTGACTAAAATCGAAGCCTAGACTAAAATCGAAGCCTAATTGATTACCAATATTATCCCCGAGGGTTCCCTGTTAAACCTTAGTAAATGCATGTATACTACAAAGGAGCCCGAAACATGATTCTAATTATTCAACGTGGCTCAACAGTTCCTAGGTTTCACTCTGGGATTTGTTGTAATTTTCCTTTGTGGTTCCTACAGAGGTACCTCTTCATAGATATGTTTAAGGACCCAAAAACTACAACCAAGCAACCCCAGCTCCAAAAGGGACTTCATGGCAGCAGTGTGACCATGCTTTTGCGCTATGAACTCTAGCTATAGTCTCCATTGTAGTTCCTTTTGGGGGTTATCCTATAGGATCCTAAATATAGGCTGGCGTATGGCTTATGATCCCCTCGCTGTTGCTCCCTAAGCCCTACACCCTAAACCCTAAACCCTAAGCCCTAAGCCCTAAACCCTAAACCCTAAATCCTAAACCTAGGGGGTGGCTCATAAGGCATACGCGACCCTAAATATAGAATTGGTTAAACCAGAAAAAGGAACTACGATGAACACTATAGGTAGCTCACCCTACTACAATCCATCCCGAGCAAAAACAAGACATCAACCACTACCGCTCGCAAGGCCCTGAACCTAAACCAAACGAGAGGTCACCAGCGACCCAGTCTAGCTGCGGAAAGATCCCGAGTCATAGATATGGGCAGGCGGAAAAGCCTTCAAGAAACAATCGAGATGTGCCTTGTTGCGCGGGCAACCCTAAACCCTACCCCGTACTGTGCAAGTCCTCGGTTTGCCCGAGATGCCAGGCTTGTGAAGTCTTTCTGCGACCTGGCAACAGTTAGGAGAAAAGGGGCGGTTAAACAAAAAGCTAAACCCTAAAACACTAATTAAACCCTAAACCCTATGAAACGTTGCTTTGACCAACAAGCACAAAGAACACAGCAAAGTCAGCGATGTCTGTCTGTACTGAGTACACCTCTTGATACTTTCCAAAGCAGACCTCGCCGTGAGCATAGTTTCTCAACAATGCGAGAGGGAAAAAACCCTACCTATAGTCTCCATTGTAGTTCCTTCTTGGGGTTACCTTACAAGATCCTAAATATAGAATTGGTTAA